GCAGGCCGCGTTGGTGAGGAGCTGCATGGACGAGTGCTGCCGCATCCTCTCCATCAGCAGTGGCGCCATCCTTCTCGACTTGGAGAAGTTCTACGACAGCATTTCGATCCCGTTGTTATGCAAGGCAGGACTGCAGCAAGGCTTCCCAGCCATCATTCTGGCGCTCGAGCTTCAGATGTTCCTGGCGCCGCGCTATCTGAAAGAACGCAAATGGGTTTCCAGAGAGATCCTACCTTCCAGGTCCCTGGTGGCGGGATCGCCTCACGGAGGCAAGCTCGCGAAGGCCATGTTGGGGCCGCTGCTGCACCGAGCCCACCTTCGCTATCATCACAGCATCATGATCAGGACCTTCGTGGGCGACACCGTCATCAGAGTCGAGGGCACAGCCAGGTTTGTTACTGAGACTCTAATCGACGCTGGCACGTTCGTCGGTCACAAGATGCAGCACGAGGCCAACCTCACCATTTCGGACAAGACAGTAGTGATCGCCACGGACAACTCCATGGCCAAGAAGATCGCCAAGGGTCTGAACAAGGTCGGCATCCCAGCTCGCATGGCCACCAAGGCCGTCGACTTGGGCTGTGACGCTGCCGCTGGGAGGATACGGTCTCGCTGCAAGGCTCGCGACCGCGTGAAGAAGGCGGCCAAGCGCTCCATGGCCATCGGCAAGGTACGTCGCATCGCCAAGCTCCGCCGTGCTGCTCAAGGACTATGAAGCACAGGCAGCTCACCCCAGGCGCTGTATGGGCACCAGCAGATGGGAGTCCCTGAGTACGAGATTACGAATCTTCGACGGCAGCCGCGACGGTCGGTCGCGGGTCAGGGCCCAGGTCGCTGCTTGACCACCACGCTAGCTATGGCTATGGGCGACGGCGACCCAGCCAAGGCTGTTCGACACCAGCATTTCACTGCATGGCTGAAGATGTGGAGGCAGAATCCCGAACTCCACCCCCGCATCCAGAAGGCCTGGAACAGCGTCGCCCCGAGGATCAGGCAGGCTGGTCAGCGCAAGTGGCGCCTGGCCAAGGGGCCCCTCAGTGCGACCATCGCCACGCTGCTGGACATTGGCTGGGACCCCGTCTCGGCCACCCAGTGGGGCACTGATGGTGGACACTCGTGGCTGATCCCGACGGCCAACGACGACGAGTCCCAGGAGATGACCAGCGACTTCACCCTCCTGCTCAGCGACGTTTCCGACTCCATCGACAAGCAGCTGTGGAGGAAGGCGTCGCAGCATGAAGCTGCTGAAGATCTGCGTGCGGGTGCCGACCTCCTGCACGTATCCCGCGAGATTGAGAAGTGCAGCAAGGCCGACGAGTTCGGGCTGGTCGGCCTCGCGGTCGCCGTCATCTCGGGAGGTCAATGGCCGCGGGCCCGACTCCGAGAAGCAGGCTACATCACTGCTGCAGAGTGCCCGCGATGCGGGGAGGCGGCTGAGACATTATATCATCGGATATGGAGCTGTCCCAAGAACGTGGGCCACAAGGACTACGATGACAGCGGGCACCTCATCGAGCAGGCCAGGACCAACTGGGAGGCGAGCCCCTCCCTGTGGCTCAGAGGTGTACCGAGCCGCCCTGACACCTGCCCTGTCTTTGACGAGGAAAAAGCTCCCGTTGCTTACGAGTTTGGTAGTTTCGCCTCCGCACCCCCGCGACGCCGAAGGTTTCGTCACCGTCTTTGGGGACGGGTCTGGTGGTGAGTTTTCGGATGACCCTCGGCGTCGTAGGGTAGGAGCTGGAATTGTCGCGCTCGGTGGCGGCCCGTTTGACTGGGAGCCGTGCGCGGGGTTTTCGAGCACGGTCCCTGGGGAAGTCCAGACTGTCCCCCGAGAGCCGAGCTCACAGCGTTCGCCGAGGCCCTCGAGCGCACTGTAGGACAATTAAGATATATCACCGACCACCTCCCCATCCTCAGAGTCTGGTCCCAAGGCGAGAGAGCGCGCCAGCTTCGTAATGGTGACCTTTGGGCCAGGATCTTTAGGGCTGCCAGGGGGAGGGGCGCGGAGGTAATTGTGGAATGGGTCCCGTCCCATGTTTCGGTCGACGCGTTGGATTGTGCCAGCGAGCGCGAAGTGTACCGCGTGGTCGGCAATGAGTGTGCTGATGTGCTCGCTGGAAGGGCGGCGCAGTCGAATTGGAGCGATTTCACCATCGGCTTTGTCCCCGAGGCCGACCGTAGGGACGCTGAGGCTGCCTTAGTCCGCAGGAGGGCGGGCAGGGCTTTAGAGGATTGTGTTCAAGTCGACCCCTGGACCGCGGCCCGTCCCGAGCGTCCCGAAATCCCTCCCGTGCCCGCCCTTTCCCGTGTGCTGAAAGCGTCTGCCCACGAGTGGCGGAAGGTCGGCCCAAAATTCGTCTGTGTGCGCTGCTCCCGATTTGAGACGAGAGCTGCTATCAAGCAGGCCGCCCTCGCCAGATGCCAGTCCAGGCCTGTCGGCGACGGCGTATCACCGCTGAAGGGGCCCCAGGAGATTGGAGGACAGAGCCTCCATCCATCCCACCGTCTTCAGTTTTGGGGTCGTTTCGGCCTGACTTTCTGTGCTGCCTGTGGCAAAACTGCCACATGTGACCCAAGGTGGCTCGTCAGTCGCTGCACCCCCAGCTCCAAAGGGGATCAGAACCTCACCAGAATTCAGAGCGGCCGATACCCCCACCCAGGGGGGCCGCCGCGTTTTGTCCGCGACGCCATGGTCGCTCGCCTCGCTGGACAGATGGCCCCGCCGCCGCAGGACCGCCGCGGGGAGGGAGGGGCAGGGGCTTGCAGCAGCCAGACCCCCGCCCCCTCCCCGCCTGGCAGAGGGGCGTGTGCCGCCCCAGGCGGGGGCTCGTCGGAGGAGGAGGAGGTCCCCGCTCCGTCCTCCCTTGAGCCTCCCCCCCTCTCGGAGGAGGAGTTCCAGGCCCAGGAGCTCAGAGTCGCGTCCCTGTCCCTCCGTCTTTTGGAGGCTGCCCGTGGGGGCAGCAACGGCAGAGGAGACCAGGGCTCTGAGTCGGGGTCAGATTAACCCGTTTTGTTTTTAGACTCCGGTTGTCTTTCATGCTCGCATTCCTCGCATTCCTCCTCCGCGCAGCGGCCGCCGCCGCGTCGAGGCCGCAGCAGCAGTGGCAGCCGTCGGGGCCTCCGCCACCGCCGCGCCGCGGCGGCGCCCGCGAGAAAGGCTTGGAAGTCAGAGTGCCGAGGGCGCCGCGCGCCCATGGTCGCCGTTGCCCCTGGGCCGCTCTTGCGTGTAGCTGGGGATTCAGCAAGAGGCCTCCGCACCCCCCCCCCCCCGCCTCGCTAGTGCTGGTGCATGAATCTCCACCGCGGCCTCCTCCTCCTCCTCCTCGTGTTCGTCGTCCTCCTCATCCTCCTCCTCTTCCTCCTCCTCCTCCTCCCCTCCTCCTCCTCCTCCTCCTCCTCCTCCTCCACTCCTCGGAACGCCGAGAGTCAGGGAATTGGATGGACGGCAGACTTGCCTCTAGCGCTGGCTTCTATCTCCCACCCCCACTGTGGCCCCTCCTGGGTTTCCCCCGGCATAGCCTCCTTCTCCTCCTCTCCTCCTCACTCCTTCTTCCTCCCTCCTCTTCCTCCGCCTCCTATCCACCTCCTCCTCTCCTCCTCCCTCCTCTCCTCCACCTCCTATCCTCCTCCTCCCCCTCCTCCTCCTCCTCCTCCTCCTCCTCCTCCTTCTCCTCCTCTCCTCCTCCTCCTCCTCCTCCTCTTGCTCCCCTCCTCCTCCCCTCCTCCTCCTCACTCCTCCGACCTCCTCCCTCTCCCTCCACCTCCTCCTCTTCCCCTCCTTCCCTCCTCTCCGCCTCCTCCTCCTCCTCTCCTCCTCCCTCCCCTCCTCCTCCTGCCTCCTCCTCTCCCTCGCACTCCTCCTCCTCCTCTCCCTCGCCTCCTCCTCGTTCTCACGCCTCCTCCTCCCCTCCTCCTCCTACTCCTCCTCCTCCTCCTCTTCCTTCCTCTTGCTCCGCGTGCTCCTCCTCCTCGGCTGCTGCTTCCTCCTCCTCATCTCCGCTCCTCCTCCACCTCCTCCTCCTCCTCCCCTCCTCCCTCCTCTCCTCCTCCTCCTCCCCCTTTTCGTACTCCTCGGAACGCCGAGGGTCAGGGAATGGGCGGCAGGCTTGGCCTTCTATTTCCACCCTCCATTTTGGCCCCTCGTGGGGTTGGGGCATGGGCAGGAGCACAGAGGACATTCCGATCGCCTCCCCTCCTCCTTCTCCTCCTCCTCCTCCTTCTCCTCCTCCTCCTCTTCCCTCTCCTCCTCCTCCTCCTCCTCCGCCTCCTCCTTCCCCTCCTCATCCTCCCCTCCTCCTCCTCCTCCTTCTCGTCCTCCGCCTCCTCCGTCTCCTCCTCCTCTGCAACCTCCTGCTGCTGCTGCCTCCTCTCCTCCTCCTCCTCTTCCTCCTCCTCCTCCTCCTCCTCACCCCTACCTCCTCCTCCTCCCCTTCCTCGTCGTCCACTCTTCACCTCCTCCTCCTCCTCCCCTCCTCCTCCTCCTCGCCTCCTCTCCTCCTCCGCCTCCTTCCTCCCCTCCTCCTCCTCCTCCTCCCACCTCCGCCTCTTGCTCCTCCTCCTCCTCCTGCTGCTCCTCCTGCTGCCGTTGGTCGTCGGGCACGCGGTGTTTCTTGCTAGCATCCGCTCGCTCCTGCTCAATACCCGGAGGGGAGCTGGGGCCTGGCAGAATCGTTGTTTTTTTTGTTTGTTGTCGTCTCTCTCTCTGCCTCTCTCTCTCTCTCTCTCTGTCTCCATCTCTCTCTCTCTCTTTTCAACGTTTTTTTTTTGTTTTTTTTTTTTTTTGTTTTTTTTTTTTTTTTGTTTTTTTTTCTCTCTCTCTCTCTCTCTTTTTCTCGCTCTCACGCGCTTGTCAACTTAGGCATTCCGATGCGTGGTCCTGCATGTCTGACTTTCAGACATACCCTCCTACCCCCTAGTTGCCCCCTGTTCTCTTTGGCCAAGGCTTCACTATGTTTATTTCTTGGTTTTGTCTGGGGGCATTGCTACCGTGAAGTTCCCAGGTGCATACGGCTACACGATTGAGCTACCACCTGCCAGCGCGTGGGGCACTAGTGGTTTCCAGCCTGACACTTCCGAGATCCTTCCAGCTTGTGTTGAGATCTTCGAGGCCGTGAAAGCGATGGTGAATTGGTTCAGGCCTCAAGCGCCGACACCGGCCCCTCCCCCGACGCCCGTCCCGCCGCCGACGGCAGCTCCTCAGCACATGTGGGCGGCCATCATGGGACCGTGCACGTTGGACGGCACTTGCGTGGAGAGCCCCAACTACCCGCAGAATTACGGCACGTCTCAGGCGTGCACCTTGGAGATCGACTCGAGTGTAGCAGGGCCGATCGTGGTGGAGAGCTTCTACACGGAGCCGGTGTTTGATTACCTCCGGGTCAACGGGGTCGCTTACTCTGGATTAAGCGGCCCCAGTGGCATCACCCCGACGGCGGACATCTTTTGGTCCTCCGACTTCATCATCGCTGGAAGCGGCTGGCGGCTGTGCCAGGAATCCGGAAGACGCCAACTATGCACCTACAGTGGAGACCCATGCCGAGGAACACCCTGCTTGCCTCAAGGGTGCCCTGGGTTTCTCTTGGGTTTCGATGGTTTTGCCATTGAAAGTGTGCCGTCCCCACACCAGAAATCAATGGACGTCCTGGGGTCTTAGGGCTGGGCTTCTTGTGGAGGGTTCCTTGTGGTCGAGCTCCTACTGTACACCGATCCTGGCCAGGGCCGTCTTGCGCCCAGGATGGGCGCACACGCCTCCTTTGGCAGTTGGGTTTGCGATCTTGGACCCCTTGTTCAACGCCTCGAAGAAGAGAAAACGCCATGAACATAAGCTTTTGGCGGAGCGCCACGAGTTTGTGTTTATGGTGTTTTTCCTTTCTAACGAAGCCATCCAGCCTTCTCGCCGCCGACGACCGTCAGAAGACCGCCGACGACTGGGCAGAAGACCGCCGACGGCCGACTGGCAGCAAGCGGTCCCTGGCCGAGTGCGCAGGCGTGGGTGTATCCGAACAGCGGGAGCAGTATAAACACAAGGTTCTGGAGCTCCACGGGGATTTCCGGGGTCTGCGCTGGACCCTTCTCCCGGACGCGCGGAGCGTGCCGGGGGCGGCGCCAGCGGTGTTGCCAGGGGGCCCTCGCGTGGATCCAAGAAGTCCGAGAGGAGCTCCGAACGTTTCCGTTTGTGCAGTTTTTTCTTCTTTTCTGTGTATGGTCGGCGTCCTCCCGAGGAAGTCGCGGCGACGCCAGCGCCGCCCTCGGCCCCGCCCCCGACCCAGGCGCCCACCCCGTCGCCAGCGGTGGCCCCCACTCCTGCCCCCGAGGCGCTCCTGCTGGCGGGACCCGCTTCGATTCCCCGCCCCCGCCCGTCGAGAGAAGGAGGAATATGGAGGAGGAGGAGGAGGAGGAGGAGGAGGAGG